TAACCGAAGTTTCAGCCATGAATACCTTAAAAACAGGAAAGAGCCCAGAAAAAAAAAAAAAAAAAAAAACCCCACCCAAAAAAACCCAAAAAAAAAAAAAAAAAAAAAAAAACCCACACTGACAGAAACCATAGTAACAAAACAACCCTAAGACATCTGCTCCAACCAGTTCACCAGAACTCATGCCTGTGAGCAGAGTAATCAGTTAGTCAAAGACCACAATGATGTATACTGTGTGCTGTATGCTACGAGACAATGGAGAAGCTAAAGTCACACAAATAGGGTTGACTTGTCACCTCTGCCAGTTACAAACTATGGTGGCCTCCAGGAAAAGAGGGTTTCAGATCCCTCAAAACTGGGGCTACAAAGGGTTTTGAGCTGCCATGCTGATGCTGAAACAGAACCCAAGGAGAACAGAAAGTGCTTTTACTGCTGAGCCATCTCTCAAGTCCCAAGACAGAATTTATAAGGCTTGGAGTGATGCTGTATACCTCTAATACTACTACCCAAGATGCTGAAACAGGAGGATTCTTTTTTTCTTGAGATTAAGGCAAGCTTTCAAGACCTAGCAAGACCCTGTCTCATAACACAAAACAAAACAAAACAACAAAAAGAAGGGCATCAAGTCCACATAACTGTGCTAAACTCCACATGTGTTCTATGGCACACATGTAATCCCCTACACACATTGTACACCTATACACACACATACAAAACAATAACAATAACGTTAAATTACTTTTTAAAAGGGAAGGACTTGCAGGGCACATGCCTCTAATCCCAGCCCTCAGAGGCAGAGATACGTCTGGTCTTCAGACGTGTACTGCAGACTTCTCAGGTGCTATGGTGAAAACTAATTTAGCTGTCGTCTCTACCGAGCTTATTGCATAATTAGTGTCTGTGTCACACCTGGGACTTGAATTTCAGGTTTGAGAATATGATGTCAGCAAAGCAAACAGAAATATCCCAACTTGAGCGCCCAAACAAGTATATACAGCCTACTTAGGAAAGCCCTGTTGTCAACTAAAATGTATAGCCAGAAGCATTACAAAAGACAGGAACACCGAGACAGGGGAATTTATAGCTATAAATAGAAGTACTACTGAGAAAGTATTATAAGACTAGCAAAAATACAAATTACACGACAAAATACAAATACAGTATATCATTGTGTATATTAAAAGGTTAACTGACCCCATCAGCCAGTGATTCAAGAGAGTCATTAATCTATGTCAAGTTTTAGAAGACAAAATTTTGTAGGAGTCAATAAAGGGAAAATACTAAAAAACAAACTTGGTTTAAAACAAAAATTCTTGGCCGGGTGTTGGTGGCGCATGCCTTTAATCCCAGCACTCAGGAGGCAAAGGCAGGCAGATCTCTGTGAGTTTGAGACCAGCCTGGTCTACAAAAGCTAGTTCCAGGACAGCCTCCAAAGCCACACAGAAATTCTGTCTCCAAAAACAAAAAACAAACAAACAAACAAAAAATGCCTAGACTCTGAGGAGAGCAGGGCTGGAGACGGCCAGGTAGTTGAGGGCACTGGCTGCTCTTCCAGAGGACCCGGGTTCAATTTCCAGCACCACTCTGCGGCTCACAGTGGTCTGTGATGCACCACAGTTCCAGGTGGTGTGACGCTTTCTTCCACCCTCAGAGGGCACCAGGTACGTGACAGCGGTGCATGAGCAGGCAAAACACCCATACTAGTAAAAAATAAACACTCTAGCCAGCTATGGTGGTGCATGCCCTCTGGAGTCAGAGGCAGGTGGACTTTTGTCAGCTGGAGGCCATCCTGGTCTACATAAGCAAGTTCCAGGCCACAGAGAGCTACCCAGTGAAACAAACAAAAAACACAAAGAAACACTGCTCACCCCTAAACAATGAAATCTCTGGAGAGTCTATCTCTATTCAAACTTGAACAGACCAAATCATCCCTTTTCTATATAATCTTTCAAAATACAGAAACAATTGTATTTGATACATATTGGATATGTATCAGAGTAACCACGGCAAAGTGCTTTGCTAGCAGCAGGAGGTACTGGGTTCAGTCTCAGGCACCCCACACATCTGCCGTGGCCACCAAGTGTAAAATCCCAGCACTGAGGTGGAGGTAGGAGGATCAAAGTTCAAGGTCTTCCCCGGCCTAACCGGAGCTCTAAACCAGCCTGGACTTATGGGAGGACAGCAAGAGTAAGAGACCTCTCTAAACCAGCCTGGACTAATGGGAGGACAGAAAGAGTAAGAGACCTTTCTTTCTTTCTTTCTTTCTTTCTTTCTTTCTTTCTTTCTTTCTTTCTGTTTTTCGAGACAGGGTTTCTCTGTGTAACAGTTCTAGCTGTCTTGGAACTCACTTTGTACACCAGGCTGGCCTCAAACTCTGACTCCCAAGTACTGGGATTAAAGGTGTATACCACCACAGATGCTAGAGACATTTTTTTTAAGTGGTCAATGACTATACTGTGAGAATACTAATAAAATACAATCTTTATCTGCTAGAGATACTGAATACTTAGGAAGTAAATAATCACTGGAATTTGCTTTAACATAAAACCCTAGAGCTGGGGATAGAGATGGAGAGGCCACATTCTGACAACTGCTAAATCAAAAGGATGGGTGCGTGGAGACTCACCAGTCTCCCCTCCCCACTTTTTCCCTTTTTAATGTTTTGGTTTTTGAGACAGGAATTTTCTGCCTCCCGAGTATTGAAATTAAAGGCATGTACCACCACCACTTGTGTAGAGAAACGCTGAAACTTTTAAAACTAAAAGCCAACCACTACTGAAGAAATTCTCAAAACAGGCAATGACAGAAAAAAAAAAAAAAAAAGAATCACGAAGCGTTCTAACCCTGTTGCTATTCAGTACAGTGCTAGAATGTTCCTTTCCTTTTCTACCTCTAACCACTTCCTCCAAAGTCAGCGATTTCTTCAGTTGCAAGCAACTTAGATGCCTACTCCTAAGCATAACTTCCGGTAACTCAGAAAGGCTTTCAAACTGTTGCATCAGAACATTAAATATTTAAATAAAGGGGCACACTGAAGCATTTCTTTAAATACTTAATGAGCTAAATGAATTCTTGTTCCCAATTATTTAAGAAATATTACTACTCCATCCATTTAAAACACTCCTTTGTATGTTTTGATACACACAAAATCAAGGTAACTGGAGGGTTTTTTTGGGGGGAGGGTTCTGAGGCAGGGTTTCTCTGTAGCTTTGGAGGTGGTGTTTTTTTGTTTTGTTTTTTTTTTTTTATAGTGTCTGGTTTAAAAAGTTTGAAGATCGCAGGGCGATGGTGGCTCACACCTTTAACCCCAGTACTCGGGAGGCAGAGGCAGGCAGAACTCTGTGAGGTGGAGGCCAGCCTGGTCTACCGAGCTAGTTCCAGGACAGCCTCCAATGCTACAGAGTAACCCTATCTTGGAAACAAAACAAAATTTGAGGATCTGGATTCGAACTCACAAGAGATCCGCCTGCCTCTGCCTTCCGAGTTTTTTTAAGAACCAAAAAAGCGTGCAAAATACTCTACCCAGAAAAAATAACCGAGCATAAGTGTGAGCCTGAAGGGACAGACCTGTAACCTCAGCCACTTGGCAGTATGTGACAGAGGGAACCCAAGTTCAAGGGCTATGGAGCGAATTGGAGGCCAGCCTGGGCAAGTTGCTCAGACTCTGGCTCAAAAAGATTTTTTTACCTCTCCAGTGGTGGGGTGTTTGCCTAGCATGCAGGTCTTCAGT